TGGTGTCCTGTTTTTTAATAAAAGCTATATGAATATGCGCAGACAGGATAATTAAGTTATCCCGACAGGATCTAAACCTCCTAAAGCCAAATTGATTGATTGTTTGGTATTAAGGCAGGGATAGGGGAGGAAGAAGATTCAGAGGTCCAACATAATCTATTAAGGACCATACGTTCTAAGACCTTCAGCACACAGGATGTAAGGGAGATAGGTCTGAAACCCGATCCCTGCGATTTAGGAATGAGATGAACAATGGAATGTTTTCCATTGTTTTAGGAAGGAGGAACAGCGGTAGAGAGAATTAAGCAGGTTTAACAAGCAAGTGATTGTCAGGAGATTATCCGGAAGGATTTTTAAGCCAATACGAAACCCGATCAATGCCGGGGCTTTAATCGCTTGCAGTGTGAAGCCTTAATTTCATCCAGAGAGAAAAGTAAATCGAGATTGACACCCTATTGACAACATCAGAATTATGGTTCGATTGAAAAAGTTCCGAGGACAAGCGATTTTTAAAACGTTTGAACATATACCAAACCTCTGGAGAGGGAGTAAGGTGGTTGAGTCCCCCGCAAAAATCTCTCCATCCTTTACGCTTGACCCTGCAAAGTACTTTGCGTATTTATCTCAAACTGCCTGGTAATATGCATCATAGTTTTCTGTAGAAAAAACCCGCTCATAGGCTTTGAGAAGCGTAGAACGAACCTTAACTGCCTCATTACATTCAAGAGTCCACCAAGGGGCCGTGGGAGGCCTTCGAGACGACCCTCTTTGTTGAAAAAACTCTTCTCTTGCTAGAATTACTCCGAGGAGAAATTGAGTTAATGCGAGACATGATGTGTCGTCTCCCTTCCTCCGAAGAGACAAAGCCACTGCAGAAGTCTCATCAATAATTTCCCCAGCATGTTCCTTCAACCAGACTCTAAGGCATAACCATAAGTCGAATTTTACTTGAAAAGGAGTTCACAGAATGATCTCAACACAAATCGGAAAGTGGTCGCTGCCATAGAGATTTCTTTCGATCTTAACATTGCAAATGGGGGCGAGGTTTGAAGAAATAAACAAGTCAATCGAAGAGGCCTTAGCAGGGTGGGGGAGAAAAGTATGAACAGAGTCAGGGTTTAAGCAGGTAAGATTTAATGATTCGGTTAGGTCATAAATACATGAACCGACAGGGCTAATTCTAAAAGACCCTCAGAGGAGATAGTGGGCATTGAAATCACCCACCAGCAAGATCGTATTGAATTGAGAGAGAAAAGTGCGAAAAGAATCCAGAATCTGGTTAGGAAGAAGAGTGTTGGGATGACAGTAAGTACCAATTATAGCAAGTTCAGTATTCTTCAACTTAATTCGGATCGCAAGAATTTCCAGAGAAAGTAGGAAATTAAATTGCAATTTAATAATAGTGTACTGAATAGTATTATAGCTGAATAAGCACAAGCATTCCTCTAATGTCATTAGCAGTGGAGTCTAGACCAATACAATGAAAGCTCTGGATTGCGAATGTAATGTTATACACGTTTCAAAAAGGATAGAAATATCCAGATTCTCCGTTAGTTTTTCTATTTCTGGTTTTTTAGAATGAGCTCCCCGACAGTTCCAATATAGCAATCTAAGAGAATGGCAACTTGTAGTAGGTAAGGAATTTGAAGTTGTAGTATTAAATATTATGTGTATTTAGTTGTTGTTGTTCAGAGCTTCTTGAATAAAGCGCAGCCCATTCCCAAGTTGATTGTCATTCGCGATAACTAGATTAGTTATAATAATCTTTTGAAGAAGACTAATTAAAGTGTCAACTAAATTTAAAAATAAAATGTTTGAAAGTAGCTAAACAATTACAAAATATAAATAATAAAGAGCATACAGCCACAACAATAGATGTTAACGCAAGTCATATATTTAAAATTCACAAATAAATAAATAAGTAGACGTTTCGGTCAAGATTTGATCATGTGTCATCAGTACAAGATGACAAAAAATGAAAATCTTACAAACTATAACGCTAGTCGAAAGATGTTACAA